TCTCTCTCATCCATTCATCCAATTTCTCTCTATCCATACATGCATTATCTACCTACCTACTTATCTATCTACTGTCCATCCATTATCTATCTATCTATCTATCTATCTATCTATCTATCTATCTATCTATCTCTATCATCCATTCATCCAATTTCTCTCTGTCCATGCATGCATTATCTCTCTCTCTATCATCCATCCATCCATCCATCCATCCATCCAATTTCTTTGTCCATCCTCCCTCCCTCCCTCCCTCTCTTCCCTCCACGTACCCTCCGTCTACCTATCCACTGACGTCTGTCCCTCCTCCCTCCCTCAATGGCTGTTTCACCTGTTGATGAGGTCCTCGTTGTCGTCGCTGTCCATCTCGTCCTCGATGGCGGCCTGCAGGTCCCCGATGCGCTTGAAGGCCAGCTTCAGGTCCGCCTGCAGGCTCTGGTTGGCAGCCTCCAGGCTCTCCAGGTCCATCTCCTGCGAAGAACCAGGCAGACCCAGCCGGGGGAGGGTGTGAGTGCGTGTGTGTGTGTGTGTGTGTGTCAGCCACTTCCCCCTGGCCTCGCCCCCAGGCGTGCAATTGCCCCACCATCTTCCCACCTGCCCTTTCTTTCTTCCTATTTCCCACTCTCCCTTCCCATTTTCCTTCCTTCCCATTTTCCTTCCTTCCCACTTCCTTTTCTCCCTCCCACTTCCCTTTCTTTTTTCCTATTCCTCCCTTCCTTTCCTCCCTTCTTCCCTTTCTTTCCCTCCCTTCCCATTTTTCTCCCTTCCTTCCATCTCCTTCCTACTTTCCTCCCTTCCCATTTTCCTTCCTTCCCATTTTTTTTCTTCCTCCCACTTCCCTTTCTTTTGTTCCTATTCCTCCATTCCCATTTTCCCTCATTTCCTTCTTACTTCCCTTTCTTTCTTCCAATTTCCCTCCCTCCCTTGTGTCTTCCCTTCCCCCCACTTCCCTTTCTTCCTTCCCAATTCTCTCCCTCTCTTCCTATTCCCTTTTCCCTTTCCCCCCTTCTCCCCTCCCTCCCATTTCCCTTTCTTTCTTCCTATTCCTCCCTTCCCATTATCCTTCCTTCCTTTCCTTCCTTCTTCCTTTTCTTTCTTCCTATTCCCCTCCCTTCCATCTTTCCTGCCTCTCACTTTAGTCCACTTTAGGAAGGAGGGAGAGAAGGAGGGAGGAAGAGAAGGAAGGAGGGAAGGAAGGAGGGAGGGAGGGAGGGAGGGATAGCAGAACAATAGAGTTGGAAGGGACCATGGAGGTCTTCTAGTCCAACCCCTGCTCAAGTAAGAGACCCTATCTTTCCAGACAAACAGATGCCCTTCCTTCCTTCCTTCTCTTTCTCCCTCCCTCCTTCTTTCCCTCCTTCCTTCCTTCCCTCCCTCCCTCCTTCTCTTCCTCCCTCCCTCCTTCCTTCCTTCCTTCTAGTACTGATGATGTTACCTAGTTGGTTCATGAAATGTCTGCAAGGAACAACCCAGCTCAGAGAGCACCAAGGACCCAACTATCATCCTTCCCTCTTCCTTCCTTCCTTCCTTCCTTCCTTTCCTTCCCTCCCTCCCTCCCTCCCTTCCAGCATTGACGATGTTGCCTAGTTGGGTCATGAAACGTCTGCAAGGAAACCACCCAGCTCAGAGAGCCCCAAGAACCCAATTATCTTCCTCTTCTTCCTTCCTTCCTTCCTTCCTTCCTTCCTTCCTTCCTTCCTTCCTTCCTTCCTTCCTCCCTCCCTCCCTCCCTCCCTCCCTCCCTCTCTTCCATTGATGATGTTCCCTAGTTGGGTCATGAAACGTCTGCAAGGAAACCACCCAGCTCAGAGAGCCCCAAGGACCCAATTATCTTCCTCTTCTTCCTTCCTTCCTTCCTTCCTTCCTTC